TTTATCCCTTTCTTCAAGGGTTTTAGGTTCTTGGTTGTTCTTATTGCAAGGATGTTCCTTTTTCAAGGACGAGTACTTCTTTCCGTCGATCTTTTCAGCAATGTAACCTGGCCCTTTTTCTTACGTGTATTCGTGGTTAAATCTAGGTATTTCCCACATATGATGCTAATCTGTTGACCCTAAAAAATGAACTCAACAGATACCGGGCCCATCCTTGCCACGTCAAGCAATGATCTAGCTCGTTTATACCGAAACTGAAGCGGTAATATGGTTGGATAGAACGCGGGAGGTACTTTCCAACAAGAGACACGACTGTTCAAGCTCCGGTGATTTGATTTCAACGGCTCTTGCGCTATCTACAAGAGCTTAATCGATTTTCCTAAAATGAGTATCTGTTTTGTCATGGAACATGTGGAAGGATAGATAAAGAGCAATCTTTTGTAATCTGTTATGATTTCAATATAGATTGTATTATTCAAAATCCAGTCAAAACCGAGTGCATCAATCCCCCCCTTTCCTATACAAAGAAAGACTATTTATACTGTTCTAACTGACGTAGTGATCGTTGGATCAGATCTACGTGGCAACATCTCCTAGACTGAAGTTTCACATCACATCCATTCGTTACATTTAATACTTGATAGAGGGTCAGCCGCACTAGAAGTAGGCTGACAACGCCATTAAAAAGTTACGTCACTTTATTGTAGATGTCCCATCAATCAGTTCTAAGAGATCTTCAAATCTGTTGAGGCAACGTTGGCTTATGGGTTTCAGACGACCCTGTGATAACCTCGGATTGGATTGTGCCTCGCTTTTGATGAAATGCTTCATTCCGAGGCTCGTTAAGTAAAGACCCCGACCCATTTTCTCCTTTGGGCTTCTGACCTATTGGCCTCCTTATTGACTCCTCGTCGACCGTACTGCCACGTGGTATGCCACGTAGTCCAACTTTATACCCCGAAACTGGGGGCTAACAGTATTAAATATAAGCAGAAGCAATAACTTCTAGCACTTCCTAATATTGTTTCAAATTTCTTATTTACTCATCCTAACATTTCCCTGAATGGGCTAGAAAAGTACATGAAACTTTGTACCATTGAAGGAATAATCTCCATCCGAGAGTATTTTGTTCTGTTAAAAATCATGTAGGAATCAAATTTTGATTTATCTATGACACACGAGTGTCATCAAATACTAGTGTTCTCAAAAGCACGCCTAGACTAGACGACGAGTGAACCACCACGCCTTGATACTAAATGCGAAATTAAGCGATCAACTTGTAAGTTGACCGCTTAATGGTGGACTCCTAGAAGCGCTTTATTAATTTTTTTTTTCCTTTTCCTTTTTGTAATAAGCATTTTATTTAACCTTAGTTTCAAGTTTTTAAATAACTTTATTGGTACAAAAGTAAAAAATGAATTTATCTGATAAATAATTAGATAAAATTTAAGTTACAGTGCTATATACGTTATGCAATTATAATTTTGAGACTTATCGTTTTATTGAAAATTTTGAAAAGTATGTATGAAGTTCCTTTAAATCTATTAAGTATGATTTATTTAGTTGAAAGCTGAAAATATGAAAAATAGTCTAGCATTTGCATTTCGAAAATTTGAAAATTGTATAATTAACCAATGATAGGAATTATTAAATAAATATAATATTTTATAATTTTAAATATTTTGTATGTATTATTTTAATTATTAAATTATTTTTAGAATGACAAAAAATTAAAAATAAGAAAACGTTTTTTTTTACTCCTTGACCTCGCCTAAGTTTGTCTAAGCTCATAAAACTTGAACCTTAGCTTTCATGCCTAGCCACACTTTACACATTTTAGAACATTACTGTCAAATACCAACTTTGAAAAAAGATATCAAATTTCTCTCATCAAAGTACTAACGATTTCCAAGGTGCAGAATTTTGGATCAAGTTCATCTTAACTATGGGAATTATGGAAATAAATTTTCAAAGTAAACACAATACCATTGGAAATTTTATCAAGTTATGATTTCGATGCACTTTACAGTTCTCAATTTTGGCATTCCTATAAAAAGTTACGATTGTTTTTCTCAAGACTGGTTACCTACCCGTTTTACTCTAATAGAGTTCTGAGGAGTTCCAATTGTTTTATATGTCAATATGCTTTATCACTTAGAATTCATCTATTTTAATTTAATTAATCTTGAAAATGTAGAAGAATGCTTAGGAATATCTATGCTTGGAAGGTTGTTCCAAGTTTCAACTATTTAACACACTTTTGAGTCTTGTAAGCCATGCAGACGGTGATTGAGTTGTGTTTTTATATGAATCTCAAGCCATTGGCTTGTTAAGAAGGACTTCTTCTTGTTGTTTACTCTTATTCCTTAGGTCAAGCTTGTTCCCTTTCATTTTCTACCATGTTTATGGTATCATATTGGTCTAAGAGCTTTTTTTACTATGGCTAGTGCTTGTCATGGTGCTGATAGTGACGATGAACGTTGTGCTTGTGAAAAAGATCTTGGTGATGTTGAATTCGATGATAATCCATACTCCTACAAAGTAACATGGACTCAATAAGGAAATGAACATCTCATAAAGAATTTTTACCAGTCGCTATTGGAAGAAAATCTACCAGACAAAGAAGATGCTACAGAAGAGCTAGAGAAAGACCTATCAATTGTCAAATATGACTCAAGAATGAAAACTATGGTGTACCTCTTTTCAATTGTCCTAGCTTTGTTGCTGACCATGTGGATGAATGTTCTTGGCTTCAAAATATCAAATTTGACACAAGATTTCCTTACCAAGACAGAGTTTGTGAGTTCGTTGTTGCTGGAGGAAGTTGCAAGAATGAGGAAAAGTTGAATTTAAAAATCGAAGATCAACCACGACATCAGAAGGTATTATGGTTTCTCGAAGGAGATGAACATAACATACGGTACTTGTATGATGCAATAAAAGTAGAGATTCCACCATATATTCTACCAACTACTCATAATCAACATTGGATTTATTTTACGTCTAAACAATCCATTCTAAACAAGTGGGCGTATAGCATGACCTTATAGAAGCCTAAAGAGCTTCAATGAAATGTTGATGACATTCTCTTTAGAGGNGATGTGGGATTATATCCCTTAACATAACATAACATACGGTACTTGTATGATGCAATAAAAGTAGAGATTCCACCATATATTCTACCAACTACTCATAATCAACATTGGATTTATTTTACGTCTAAACAATCCTTTCTAAACAAGTGGGCGTATAGCATGACCTTATAGAAGCCTAAAGAGCTTCAATGACATGTTGATGACATTCTCTTTAGAGGNNNNATGTTGATGACATTCTCTTTAGAGGAGTGACAAAGATTCAAGGTCAATTTTTCAATAGGAGTGGGAATGGCACCAAGAGAATATCTATTAGGTCTTCCAAGATGATAATCTATTTTCTAAAATAAGGCGATTTAAATTTGATTCATATTTGAAATGATCGGTTGTTAAAGGGAAAGTACTCTTCTATTTATCGAGATAAAGACAATAGCTTGGACTTGAGGACGAGTTTTTCTCAACCAGTGTTTGACACTAGTGTCGTCAAATACCAAAATTGAAAAACGGAACTCATATTTCTCTCATTAAAGTACTAACTATTTTCAAGGTACAGAATTTGGTCAATTTCAACTGATCTCTGGGAATGATAAATGTTATCAAGTTAAGATTCCTATGCACTTCACGGATCTCAATTTTGACAATCCTGCAGAAATTGTTATTCTTATGACTGGTGAACTACCTATTCTACTCTCAAATTGAAGAAGTTTTTGTTTTAAATCTTCTAAAAGAGTTCCAAAGAAGTTCAATTGTTTATGAGGTCTTATGCACGAATTTTTATACGAATAATGAAAATTTGGCTTGTTAAGAAAAAATAATTCTTCTTGTTCTTTACTCTTATCCTTGTGTGAATTCTTTGAGGTGCTGAGTTTTATTATTAGAGCACCTCTTATTCTATAGATGGATTGCTACAGGTGGAGAGTTCTTCATGGAGTGTGTGTGAGCGCGCGCTTTTGTTAGATCCTATTTGGGCCCGAGTTTCTGTTGTCAATGTATCTATACGCTCATGCGTGGTGGAGTACAAAGAAGATGTAGTTGCATAAATAAATTTTCCTGCAAAACCTAAGGAGCAACCAGCCAACCACTACAATCTCCAACCTTGTCTTTACCTCATGTACATTTATGAATGAGAATCAGTCGAGAAACATAAAATAAATAATAATGCTTATGAAAATGAATCAAGAAACATAAAATAATGATTATGTAAATCAATCATGAGTTTGGCTTGGACAAAATTGTGAGAGGGGCTGTTTTTTTCTTTGTTAGAATCTGCCAATTTATGCTAATTCATTTGAAATTGATGTTTTGTTATGCTCTAAAACGAACCTTGAAGACTTCAAATCAAACAATTAACCCACTGACAAACAAGAAATATCTTGTGATTCCACCAATGACCAGTCAACAAAATACAAACCTATCTTTGTTGACTTATTCATCCCTTTCAACTTAATGATGAATAACAATGGAGAATTTCACCATCTACATCTATTAACCATAACATCTCTTTATCTGAATTCTTGAAATTCTGCAGCTTTTATTCATGGAGACACAACAAACCAGTTTAATTAGAATTCTAATGTTCCCATGGTTGGCTCATGGTCATATATTCCCCTATTTTGAGCTAGCTAAGAAACTATCTCAGAAAAACTTCCACATATATTTCTGTTCTACAGCAATCAATCTAACTTCAATCAGTAAATCCATTGAAAATAACTCCTGTGATTCTTCAGTACAACTAATCGAACTCCGTTTACCCTCATGGCCTGAACTTCCTCCTCATTACCACACAACCAAAAACGTGCCTCCTGATCTTATGCCAAAGCTCCATGAGGCTTTCCAATTGTCACGCTCCAGCTTTGCAGAGATCATCAAAACAGTAAAGCCTGACTTGGTCGTATATGATTTCTTCCAACCATGGGCTGCCACACTTGCTTCATCACTAGGTATTCCTGCAGTTTACTTTGCCACTTCAGGAGCAGCAGCGTTTTCATTTTACCATCATTACTCTACATATGGGAATGCTACTTTCCCTTATCAGGAAATCTATTTACGGGATTATGAAAGAATAAATCTAGACATTCTACACAATATTGAAAAAGAAGGTGAAGACTTTCCTTTTGGTAGCTTGAAACGATCTTGTGAAATTATTTTGATGAGGAGCTGCTGGGGAATTGAGAGGAAGTATCTTGATTTATTATCTGTCTTCTGCCAGAGAAAAATGGTAAGTGTTGGACCACTTGTTACGCTACCTGACCGTGAAGAAGATTATTCAGAGATCATGAAGTGGCTAAGCAAGAAAAATCAGTTCTCTACTGTGTTCATCTCTTTTGGTAGTGAAAACTACTTGTCCAGGGAGCAGATTGAAGAGATGGCACAAGGCTTAGAGCTTTGTGATGTTAACTTTATATGGGTAATTAGATTTCCTCTAGGAGAGGCAATCGGTATAAAAGACGTACTACCAGAGGGATTTCTTGAGAGGGTGCAAGGGAGGGGTATGATTGTGCAGGGATGGGCTCCACAGGCTAAAATTTTGGCACATCCAAGTACTGGCGGTTTCTTGAGTCATTGTGGATGGAGTTCTATAATGGAAAGTATTTATTTTGGTGTACCTGTAATAGCCATGCCTTTGAAATATGATCAGCCTCTACATGCTAGGCTGGTGGTCGAAGCTGGTGTCTGTGTGGAGGTTCCAAGAGAAGACAGTGGACAATTCAAGAGAGAATGCGTGGCAAACTCAATAAGTAAGGTGATTGTGGAGAGGACAGGAGAAGGCATGAGGTCGAAGGCTAACGAATTGAGAAATAAGATGAAAGATGAAGAAGAAGTAGCCATAAATGAAACATCAGAGCAACTATTTCAGCTTTGTGTCAAGTTTAAGGAGAAGTAATGATTCTTATCTTAGACTTAGGGGGTGTTTGTTTTTGATTTGAGAATTGATTTTCAGATCAATTCTCATTTTCATCCACACATTTTTAAATAAAATAATATTTTTCATCACATCAATAATTTTTTCTTCTTTTTCAACCACACATTTCCCATCATATCACTATTCAAAATTAATTCTTTTCCCAAAAATTCCTACCAAACAAGCTCTTATCCTAGTATAAGTGAACATGCAAAAGGAATAATCTTTGTTGTGCTATATTGGCGTTTTACAAGACAAATTATAGATGCAATTTATTATGCTAAATTGATTTTTTCCCCTATCCTGAACCAAAAGAAATTGTTCAGCATGAAAATAGTCTTACATTCAACTGAAAGTTGTTCACGTTTCATACTTTTATTGAAAAAATTANCTATCCTGCACCAAAAGAAATTGTTCAGCATGCAAATAGTCTTACATTCAACTGAAAGTTGTTCACGTGTCATACTTTTATTGAAAAAATTAATCTAGCTTGTAAACACAGCCTATGAAGAGCTGATGGAATTTTAGAGGGTTTAACAGCTTCATAGTGTTAATTTCACACGTGATCATATTTCAAGTTGGAAAGAGCATCATGCATAACAAGATCTACAGCCTGTAGAACTAGCATGAATCGTGCAATTAGTGAGAGAGAGAGAGAGAGAGAGAGCAGTTGAGAGTTAGCCGTAATTGTTGAGGCTCAACTCCTTTTATATTCTAGATCAAAGGGCTGATTCACCCACTTGATCCGACTCTGAAAAACGGCTGTTATTTTAAATGTGCATTTCCCTTTAAGCCTAAAGTCGTACTTTGCCAAAAAACATGTTTTCTTCCTTTCACCTCTTGTATCACTATACATTATTGATAATGGTATATCGTTTGAAGGGGGTTGATGGGAAAGTGCAAACAAAGTCCCACATCGATTAAATATGGGATTGATGAATTGTTGAGTTTAAAAGCCAAACTAAAAATGATTTTATTAACAAAAANCTATCCTGCACCAAAAGAAATTGTTTAGCATGCAAATAGTCTTACATTCAACTGAAAGTTGTTCACGTGTCATACTTTTATTGAAAAAATTAATCTAGCTTGTAAACACAGCCTATGAAGAGCAGATGGAATTTTAGAGGGTTTAACAGCTTCATAGTGTTAATTTCACTCGTGATCATATTTCAAGTTGGAAAGAGCATCATGCATAACAAGATCTACAGCCTGTAGAACTAGCATGAATCGTGCAATCAGTGACAGAGAAAGAGAGAGCAGTTGAGAGTTAGCCGTAATTGTTGAGGCTCAACTCCTTTTATATTCTAGATCAAAGGGCTGATTCACACACTTGATCCGACCCTGAAAAACGGCTGTCATTTTAAATGTGCTTTTTCCCTTTAAGCCTAAAGTCGTACATTGCCAAAAAACATGTTTTCTTCCTTTCACCTCTTGTATCACTATACATTATTGATAATGGTATATCGTTTGAAGGGGGATGATGGGAAAGTGCAAACAAAGTCCCACATCGATTAAATATGGGATTGATGAATTGTT